CCTAACCTCAAGTGATCTGCCTGCCTCAGCCTTGTGGAATGCTGAGATTACAGGAGTAAGCCACTGCACCCAGCCTAATGCAGTTATTTTTTATGAAAGGGGAGATGGAGAAAGGAAGTGGTCACTTGATTATACAGCACAGTACAGAGGTGACTTGATGTTTTTTCAGTAAGTGGTTCTGGGTCATTTGATATCCATATGAGAAAATACATATTTTTACCCCTTTCTCATAACACAAAGAAAATTCCAGATAGATTATAGACTATATTGTTTAACCTTATGAAAAGTTAAACAGTAAAGTTTTTGAGAAAAACAAAACAACTTTGTGACCTTCAAATTGGAGAACATTTCTTATTTATTTATTTATTTAGACAAGGTCTCCCTGTCACCCAGGCTGGAGTAGGATGATGTGATTCTAGCTCACCACAGCTCTGAATTCCTGGGTTCAAGTGATCTGCCTCAGCCTCCTGAGTAGCTGGAACTACAGATGTGCACCACCACACCCAACTTATTTATTATTATTTTGTTTAGAAACTGGGTCTCACTATGTTGCCCAGACTGGTGTTGAGCTCCTGGCCTTAAGCATTCCTCAGTCTTCCAAAGTGCTGAGATTATAGATGTTAGAACACAGAAGTACTAATCAGAAAGAAAATAAGTTGGCCTATATTAAAATTAATCATTTCTGGTCAGCAAGGCTCTATTAAGAGTGAAAAAGTTACTTCCAGAGTGGTTGAAGGTATTTGCAGCATGTATGTTCAACAAAGGATTCATATACAGAATGTAAAAGAAACACCTGAAAATTAATAAGAAAAGACCCATCAACTCAATAGAAAAATGAGTAAAACACTCAAACCACCACTTCATAAAAGAGGATATCCAAATGGCCAATAAACATCTGAAAAGGTGCTTAACATGTTTAGTCATCAGCGAAATGCAAATTAAAACCACACTAGGTACCCCACCTACCAGAATAGCTAAAGTGAAAAACAATAGAAAATACTAAATTGTTGGAGGAGTTGCAGTTCAACTAGAACTCTTGTACTGCTACAGGGAATATACATTAGTACAATCAGTTTGTAAAAGTGTTTAGCAGTATCTGCTAAAGTTGAACACATATACTTTGACCCACTGATCTCATGTCGAGGGCATATTCTCAAAAGAAATACCTATGCCAGTTCTCTTCCTGAGTTTTCACAATGTCATTTCTGCTGCAGTTATTGATCATAAAAGTTGCAAGGCCAGTAAAACTCCGGCATAAGGAAATATACTCCACCTCTTGATGGAAGGAGTATCAAAGTTAGATGCAGAGGGGAAAGGTGGCAGAGAGGTATGATGCATTGGGGCTTGTATTCTAACACTATACCACATTGTTGCTTTCTCAGCTCCTGGGTATCTATCTACCCTCTTTATGCTGGGCAGTCTCACCTCTCCAACAGTGATCTTGGACAAGATTTAAGACAGCTTCCCGATAGGGTTTCACCAGCTCATTCACAAGCTGGTGGGAAAAATCCCTTGCTTTGACAGCCCCTGAGAGTGCTAGTCTGTCTCAGTGTAGCAGCACCTTTCTGGTTCACCATCAGCGAGGCAGGCACTTACTTGTTTTCTGGAATCTCTGGCCATGAGTCAGCCCGCAGGGTAATAGTCCATTTTAATTTTCTCAGGCATGAGTCAGGCACTGGTCATCTCTCTCTCCAACTAAAGGAAACACTCCAAAGGTACACTTAATGCCCCCTCACTCCTCCCCAGGTTGGAAATTTACAGCCTGACTACCACTCCCTCTAAAGAAACTCTTCCCTACTCCTACAAAAGCTTTTTCCTCTCAGATCGCATTTTATGACTCTGACCTGCCTAAGGAGTCTACAAGCTGTGCAACACCTTGTAGACTTGTGTCTAAACCATTCTTTTTATAAGTTCTACACAGAGAGATGTATGTCTCACCCTCAATTCAGTTTCCTATTGTCCATTATACCACTTCTCAAGCAAAACTAGACAATGAAAGTAAATTCTATCCTAAAACCCTGTTTGTTAGTAGTGTACACATATGATGTGTGGCTAATGTATACACTATACAGTATACACTAGTATAGTGTATACTGTATAGTATATGCGTGATACTAGAGGATATGACTTCAATACCCCACTTAAAAAAAAAAATGAATAGAACAACCAGGCAATTTATGCAAAGTCTACAGCTAACATTATGCTCAGTGGTGAAAGACTGAAAGCTTTTCCTCTAAAATCAGGGACAAGGCCAGGATACCCATTCTGGCCACTTCTATTTGACATAGTATTAGAATTTCTAGCCAGAGCCATTAGACAAGAAAAAGAAATAAAATTATCCAGATTGGAAAGAAAGAAGTAAAACTACCTCTGTTGGCAGTTAACATGATCTTATATGTAGAAAACCATAAAGATTTTGAAAAAAAAACAACAAAAAAAACTATTACAATGAATAAATGAAGTCAGCAAGTTACAAGATACAAAATCAACACAAAAATTAGTTGCATTTCTGCACACCATCAAAAAACAATCTGAAAAGGAAATTAAGAAAAAAAATTCAATTTACAATAACATCAAAAAGAATAAAAAACTTAGGAATAAATCTTACCAAGGAGGTAAAACACTTGTATGCTGAGAATTATAAAACATTGCCGAAAGAAATGAGAGAAGATACAAATAAAAGGCGTCTTGTGTTCATGGATTGTAAGACAATATTGTTAAGATGTTCATACTACTCGAAGCAATCTGCAGATTCAATGCAATCCCTATCAGAATTCCATTGGGGGCCAGACACAGTGCCTCATGCCTGTAATCCCAGCTCTTTGGGAGGCCAAAGTGGGAAGATCACTTGAGCCCAGGAGTTTGAGACCAACCTGGGCAACATGGAGAACCATTTCTACAAAAAATATAAAAATCGCTGGGTGTGGTGGCATGCTCCTGTAGCCCCAGCTACTCAGGAGACTAAGTTGGGAGGGTCTATTGAGCCCAGGAGGCTGAGGCTGCAGTGAGCCATGATTGCACCACTACACTCAAACCCAGGCAACACATCGAGAACCTGCCTTAGGAAAAAAAAAAAAAAAATTCTAATGGTATTTGTTGTAAAATAGAAAAATTTATCCTAAAATTCATATGGCATCTCAAGGAACCCTAAATAGCTAAAACAATTTTGAAAAACAGTAACAAAATTGAATGACTCACACTTTCATATTTCAAAAATTATTACAATATGACAGTAATCAAACTGGTGTGTTCTGTCAAAAAGACAGACAAATAGAGCAATGGAATAGAATAGAGAACCCAGAAATAAATTATTTTATATATGGTAAAATGATGTTCAACAAAGGTACCAATAATAGACAATGCCAAGGGATAATTTCTTCAACAAATGATGTTGGAATACTGGATATCTGCATGTAAAAGAATGAAATTGGATCCTCATCTTGCACTCTACAAAAATTAACTCAAAGTGGGTTAAAGACATTCACTAAGACCTTGGCTGAGTGCAGTGGCTCACTCCTGTAATCCCAGCACTTTGGGAGACCAAGAAAGGTGGATTGCTTGAGTCCAGGAGTTTGAGACCAGCCTGGGAAATATGACAAAACCCTTTCTCTACAAAAGGTACAAAAAATTAGCTCGGCATGATGGCGTGCACCTGTGGTCCCAGCTCCTCAGAAGACTGAGGTGGGAGGATCAATCACTTGAGTCCAAGAGACAGGTTACAGTGAGCCAAGATCGTGCCACCACACTCCAGCCTGGGTGACAGAACAAGACCCTATAAAAAAAAAAAAAATAAAAAAAAAATCACAGACCTAAATGTAAAACATAAAACTAAAAAAAAAAAAAACAAAAAAAAAACAACAAAAAAAACCCATTAACGTAAGATCTAAAACTTTAAAACTCCTAGAAGAAAACATAGGGCAAAGTTTCATGACATTGGATTTTGCAATGTTGTTTGGATATAACAGCAACAGCACAGGCAAGAAAAGCAAAAATAGATAAATGAGACTACATTAAATTTAAAAACTTCTGTGCATCAAAGAACACAATCAGAGTGAAAAATACCCTATAGAGTGGGGAAATAATTGCAAATCATCTCTAATAAGGAGCTAATATTTAGAATATAAAGAACTACAACTCGACAACTGAAGAATTAAAAAATCTAACTAAAATATAGTTACAGAACTTGAAAAGATGTTTCTCCAAAGATGATATACAAATAGATAAGCATATGAAAAGGTACTCAACATCACTAATTATTAGAGAAATGCAAATCAAAACCACAAAGAGATGTCACCCACACCCATTAGGATGACAACTATCAAAAAAAATAAAATAAGTGTGGACAAGTATGTGGAGAAATGAAACTTGTGCACTGTGTTGGGATGTGAAACAGCATGACCGCTATAGAAAACAGTTTAGTGGCTCCTCAAAAAATTAAAAATAGAACTACTATATGATCCAGTGATTCTACTTCTGGATATATATCTAAAAGAATTGAAAGCAAGGTCGCAAAGAGAGAGCAGGGTCTCAATCCCATGCTCATGGCATTGCCATGCACTACAGTCAAGAGATGGAAGCAACCCAAATGTCCGTACATGGATGAATGAATAAACAAAATGTATTATATACATATAGTGAAATATTATTCAGCCTTAAAAAGGAAGGAAATTCTGTCGTATTCTACAACATGGATGAAACTTGATTGAGGACATTATGCTTAATGAAATAAGCCAGTCACAAAAAGATAAATGCTGTATGATTCTGATTATATGAGGTCCCTAAAGTTCACAGAAACAGAAAGCAGAATGGTGGTTACCAGGAGATAAGGGAAAGGGGAAAAGAGATGTTTAATGGGCACAACATTTCAGATTTGTGAAGTGAAAAAGTTCTAGAGATCCATGTCACAACAATGTGAATATACTTCACGCTATTGAACTGTACACTTAATAATGGTTCGAATTGTAAATTTTATGTTTTTTACCACAATTCAAATAAAATAGGTAAATACAAAAGAAAACGCTTCCTAACTATGGTCAAAGAAAGTGATGCGACAACAGAAGAAGAGGCACAGAGATGTTGGTTTTGAATATGGAGGGAGGAGGTTATGAACTAAGGAACATGGGTGGCCTCTAGAGGCTGGAAAAGGCCAAGAAATATGTTCTTCCTTAGAGCTTCCAGAAAGGATCACAGTGCTGCTGACACCTTGATTTTAGGACTTCTGACCTACAAAATTGTAAGATAATAAATTTGTGTTGTTTCCAGCCACTAAGTTTGTGATAATTTGTTACAGCAGCCACAGAAAACTAATACACCATGTCAGCTTTGAGTGGCAGAGTAATACAGCACAGGTTCTGGAGCTCAAATGCTTAGGTTCAAATCCTAGCTCTGCCACTCTCTAGCTTTGTGACCCTGTTTACTTAATCTCTCTGTGTCTCAGGTTCCTCATCCATAAATTGGGGGGTTTGTTTGTTTGTTTCTTTTCTGGAGACGGAGTCTCACTCTCTTGCCAGGCTGGAGTGCAGTGGTGCCATCTCTGCTCACTGCAACCTCTGCCTCCCAGGTTCAAGCAAATTCTCCTGCTTCAGCCTCCCAAGTAGCTGGGATTATAGCCATCCGCCACCACGCCCAGCTAATTTTTGTATTTTTAGCAGATACAGGGTTTCACCATGTTGGTCAGGCTGATCTTGAATTCCTGACTTCAGGTGACCCATCCACCTCGGCCTCCCAAAACGCTGGGATTACAGACATGAGCTACCACACCCAGCCCATAAATTAAGATTTTTAATAGTACCTCATGAAAAGTAGTGGGGAGGATCAAGGAAGTTAAGCCACCTAAGGTACCTAGTACAGTTTCTAGTAGACATTAAGTAGCCAATACATTTTACCATTATTATACTATTCGACATGGCTAAAATGTCATGCAACTGCAGGGTATTTCTGATCCTTTTATATTTATTGTTGTTATTATTCTGTGAAAAAAGATGATTCCCAATCTGATATGAATAAAGTGTTTGTGTAATTCATTATGCAAAATGTAAGAAGGATAATTTTTTTACACCAAGCTATATTAACCAAACCTCATTCTTAAACTTTTGGAGTCATTTTTCTCCTAACGAGATAGAGGATACTAATAGGCACAAGGCCCACTATGCTTCCTTAGCCTTTTCAATGTTTACTCTCCTACACATGCCACATGTATTCAGGCCATCTGGACTATTACTGGTCCCAGGATATACTCTGTGCTTTCTAATATCACTACATTGCTCTCTACATTCTTTTTAAAGGGTTCTTGGTTTTGTACTGGCAGAAAGTTCACTGGCATCTGTAGGAATGTACATGTTTTTCTGCATTTAGAATTAGATCCTAAAGTGATTCAGGAATGGTAAACTAACCTGTGTGCCAATTTACACATTCCTTTCCTCTCACTTAATTGTCACCTCCACCCCAATCTCCAAATGCCCCTAGAGTCCTTAAGAGAAGAAACAGGAGATGTCGCAAAAAATAGGAGGTCCTCTCAATGTCTAGATCACTGTGTTGCCTGCTCAGCTTCCCTCTGGTAGAACTTGAGAGGACACATGGTCTATAAGGCATCTTTGTGCCATAATTGCTGTCCCACTTTCCCTAAGAGCTGGAGGTATTTCACCAGATTTTATGTAAGTAATATGACATTTGGAGGGTTGGGATGTTGGAGGATTTTTTCATGACCCACCCATCAGAAGTGGTGTGTGACTTCTGAGGCTAGGTCTTAAACTGAGGTCTCTTGCCAACAACCAGCACCATGTGAAATAGATCTCCAGTCACTGTCAAACTTTCAGCCTGGCCAAAATGTTAATTGCAACCTCATGAGGGACTTCAAGCCAGAACCACTCAACTAAGCTGCTCCTGAATTCATGACCTTCAGAAACTACATTCATGAGAGATATGGGTCTGCAGTTTTTCTTTTTTGTAATTTGGCATTAAAGAAATGCTGGCCTTATAAAGTAGTGAGTTAGAAAGTGTGCCCTCTGCTTCTGTTTTCTGTAACAGTTGGTAAAGAACTGGTATCTTTTATTCCTTAAATCTTTGGTAGACTTCACCAATGAAACTGTCTAGGCCTGGCAATTTCTGTTTGGAAGGTTATTATTTATTGATTCAATTTTTTAAAATAGAAAGTCCTGTTTAGATTATCTATTTTTCCTTGTGTGAGTTTTAGTCGATTGTGTCTATGCAGTAATGGACAATGGCCAGGTCAAGTGCAGAACAGGACACAACCAGCAGAAAAGCCCTGAGGCAGGAAATAGCTTGGCACGTTAAAGTAAGGGAAAGGTGGCTCCTTTGTCCGGAACCTAGAGAGCCATAGAGGGACTGAGACAAGGAGGTGGGAGCATCAGGCAGAAAGACAGCAGACCGATAAGCTTTGCCTTCTCAGAATTTAGGACTCTATCTTAGGATAATGGGAAACCCTGACAGCTTTTACAAATCTCCTTGAATCTGAGATGTAGCCACATTCTGAAGTCCTCTCGATCTTTAAGATCTGCATTCTGCAAAGCCAAAAAACCTGTCTGGGAAAATTCAGCAATGACTAATAAGAGAGTAGATCAACAGGCAAACATTGATTATAATTATTATTTTTGCGGGGGCACAGGTATTAAAGCAGTGGTTCTCAACATTGGCTGCAAAGTGGAATCACCTGGGGAGTTTTGAAAATTCCTACTCCTTGAAACCCCAATTTTAGAGACTTGATCTAACTGGTCTGAGATAAGGTAGGAGGATTTCTAAATGCTTCTCAGTGATTCAAATGTGCAGCCAAAATTGAGAACCATTAGTAGGGAAGCTAGAATGCTCACAGTTTTAATAATTTGTATTCTGCCATGTGTGCATTCATTTTCAGAAGGAAGTTTTAAAAATAGCCAGTATGTTTGCCCTGAACTGTACTTAGTGCTTCAAAAAGGTAGACTTTTAAAATTGTCATGACAACCTCTCAAGAATTGTCTTACATACAATTGTTTTAATCTTATTTTCCCCCATTGGATGGATAAAGAAATTGAGATATAGAATTTCAATAATTTGCCCAAGGCTTCATCACTAATAAACAGAAGAGCTGGCATTTGAACTCAGGAAGTATGGCTCCTAAGTTCTCATTTGCATCTACTGTCCCCAAACCTCTATTTATGGAGTCAAAAGGAAGATGACAGCCTGCCTGCTTTCCACATTGCCAGCACAAAGAAAGAGAACTGCTTCTTGTAATTCAGGTCCTCCAAAAACCAGACCCAAGCCCAACAGGAAAAAGTCATAAAATAATAATCTCCACCAAAAGAGAAGAAATTTTATATTTATATATTTTTAACCACAAAATGAAATTCAAGTATTACAAAGAAAAATTACTAGAAACACAAAAAGTATTAATCCCCAATTAAATATATTGGCAGGTAAATTGAAAAAGAAGTAGGTCACTGTAGTGGCCTAGAAGGTAAAATAGAAGAACTCTCTCAAGGCATAGAGTAAAACAAAAGTGAAATGGAAATTAGGAGAGAAAAGATAAGCAACTGGAAGAGAAAGTCGAGAGGTCTAATATATAAAATATAGGCATTCTAGATACACAAAAGAAACATTGCAGGAGGGCCAAAGACCCAATTTTATGAATTAAAAGAGCTCCCAGAAATCCAAGGTAGACTAAATTGATGAAAAATGTTATATACACAATCAGGTAAAATTCCTGAACTTTAAAGAGCAAATATTATTTGCTACCATTTAGAAAGAAAAAATTGTCAAAAAAGAAAAAGAATCAGACTTGCATTGTACTTCTTATTTGTAATGCTAGAAACTTGAAAGCAGTGGAATATCATCTTTAGAGAAAAGGCAAGATTCTCTACCTAGCCATGATATGTGAATTATATCCTAAGCCCCCTGACTGACTGAATGGACCCCTGTTGGCCAAGGAGACCCCGGAAAAACTAAAAATTCAATTTCTAGCCATAATGAGACAGGAAGTCAGTCACACCTCAGTATACCCTTTTGTTCATTAACGTACCAGATCTTCCTTAAGAGTTAAACAGAAAGCAGCCCTGGAAAACCCTTCCACTGACCTCAGCTTCAACCACAACCTGACACTATGGCCAGACTCCCCTACCTTTTGCGGTTTAAACATGGCAGGTTACCAGTTTCACAAAGTTTTCCTTCTTGATAAATAACCACTGACTATGTACTGTTTCTGGCCAGTTTATAGAGGCTACTGACACAGCACCTCTGTGTCCTAAGTTTCACATTTTGATGTATAGAGCCCAATTTTCCTGCATTGTAATGTTAAGTCTCCACCCCAAAGTGAACATGGAACATATGTAACATGTATGTTTGCTTACCATGCATGCCCGTAACCCCCCTTCATGAGTGTTTATAGTTTCTCCTTTAGCCTGTTAAGTATGCTTTTAGCCAACCCATTTAGCATAAAACTACAGTCCCACCCTACCTTCCTCAAAGTGTCGGCTTTTGGTCTTAGCTAGAGGCTGTGCTTCCCAGCCTACAGGATGCAGCTCTAGTCCAGAAGTAAAGTCCTCTCTAGATTTATAGATTTCATGATTTTTAGGTTGACGGATATAATTAATCTGTCAAAGAAAAAAATGGTCTTTGAGAATGTGCAGTAATTCAGAGGGTAGATCACTCATATGACTCATCTGAGAAAGATATTAAAGAAAATACAACAGTCTGTACAAGCACCTCAAAATAGTGAGAAGAGAGAAAAAACAGAATGAGCAAAAATATACCCTGCCATGTATGTGCATAGTTATATGTAAATGAATAAGAATATACTGGGTGTAGTAGTCTGTTCTCACATTGTTATGAAGAACTACCTGAGGCCAGGTGCGGCAGCTCACACCTGTAATCCCAGCACTTTGGGAGGCTGAGGCGGGTGGATCACCTGAGGTCAGGAGTGGAAGATCAGCCTGGCCAACATGGCAAAACCCCGTCTCTACTAAAAAATACCAAAAAATTAGCCAGGCATGGTGGCGGGCAACTGTAATCCCAGGTACTTGGGAGGCTGAGGCAGGAGAAACACTTGAACCCAGGAGGCGGAGGTTGCAATGAGTTGAGATTGTGTCATTGCACTCCAGCCTGGGAGACAGAGCGAGATTCTGTCTCAGAAAAAAAAAAAAAAATGCAAAAATAAAAGCTGTTCAAAAGATTAAAATGATAAAGTTAGCAAAATAATAGCCAAAATATCACAAGCAAATGCAAACAAAAAGAAAGCAGAAATGGCACCAATAAGAGTAAGTGGAATTTAAACTCAA